TCCCGCCGCAGACGACCACCCGAATCTGACGAAAACTAACAAAAATGACATTCAGTTTGAAAGTCAACAGATGGGCGGAGCGAGCCATGACGTCACGGCACGCTCCGCCCATTTGACACCCTCAGCTGTCAACTGCTACATATTGCAGTCATATATATCAAATGCTTCTATGCTTAAAGTACAGAGGCTATAGAGTAGCGGTTAGAGGTACAGGTTTGTCGCAGGTCAGCTCTATTGATTGAGAAGCCAGCGAACACACATCGTCGATCATTGACTTCCTGATCCTCTCCCTGCAGAGAGCAGTGACTGTCAGTCACCGCTCCCGCAGGGTTTCCCCCCTCCCCTCTCCATTTTCTAGCGCTGACTGGAGGAACAGACAGGGGAGGAGGTGGGCACAGCTTGCTCTGCCTCGAGATTCGTTCCGGCTGCAGCGCTCTCAGCATATAGCGGGTTTTGGGTCACCGAAGGACACAGTACAGTAAATGTCCTCCCATGACCATGAGGATAACTATGAGCAAACAAGGTTGGCCCATGGTTCTCCTTTAAAGCATTAACATAGCAGTGTCAGAAGACAAAATCATTAATGGCACCCTGGTTTCTTTCTACCTTTTTTATAGTTGCCGCTAATGTTTCTGTCATTTTAATATAGTTGATGGTCCAGTCACCTGCTCTGGGTCTAAAGCTGACCCATGGTCTGCTTCAATTGTTACTTGTGAATTGTTATTAGACATGTGTGATTCTGTTAGTTCCGAAACTCGTTTTGGACGAATTTGTCGGAAATTCGGAGATTCGGATGCATCCGAATTCCGAATTAAAGCTAAGACGAATGCAAAAGAATCCGAAGTTCCCGATTTCCCGAAATTCGTTATTAAACGAATTTTGGTGCAGCAAAACGACATTAGGAAAAAAAAATACCACAGTTACCTTCTCCAACACTTCCTTGGTTAAAGTACAGAAGCAATAGTGTAGAGGGTAGTGGACAGGTTTGCCATTGCTAAGGTCGCAGGTTCTAGTCCTGGGTAAGTTAGGGCATAAAGATTTTTTTTCTTTGCTTTTGAATTGGCATTCTCCTATTGACCTAAATGTAATTTCTCATTTTGCTATTGGACAAATTCTGATGCAAAAAATGAAAAAAAAAAAAGCGTGAGGTTTCCCCCCAATTCATACCAGACCCTTTAGGTCTGGTAGGAATGTTAGGAGGGACCCCCCCCTCCTTATAACACAAAAACTGCTACATATTGCAGTCATACATATCAAATGCTTCTATGCTTAAAGTACAGAGGCTATAGAGTAGCGGTTAGAGGTACAGGTTTGCCATTGATTTTTTTCATAAACGAATTTCGGCAGGACTACAGCTAACGAATTTCGGCCGAAACTAATTTAATTTCGGACCCGAAAAACGAAACTAAACTAAACAATTTTTTTTTTTTTCAAAACGAAACGAAACTAAACTCATTTTTATTTTTTTTTCAAAACGAAACTAAACTAAACAAATTTTTTGCTGGTGCACATGTCTATTGGTTATTTCCCGGGGTTTTTTTTTAATAAACATTAGCCATAAACTAGAGTTTGGGCTCATCTTGTGCTGCTGATTGATAATAGTGAATAAGTGTGCAGCAGTATATTAGTGAGCAGGTCTGTGCATGCTAAAGCTATTGTTGCTTTTTCCCCAGTCTTGTGAACATATGACAGGTAAGTGTGAAAGGGCTGAAAAGAAATGCTCCCTGGGGCTGATATATAAAAATTTGGCAACAGGAGAAGTAGAACAGTTGCCTATAGAATCCAGTCCAGTGGTAGCTTTCATATTTTAACCAGCACAAAGAAGTCTATAGTTACCATGAGCAAAAACTCCATGTGTCTTTACTCCATTCTTTTGACTATGAATGACTGATTTTCTTTGCATTTCAGGATCACATGACTCCTTCAGCTTCTACATCGATGAGGCATCTCCAGTTGGACCAGAACAGCCAGAGACTGTCCAGAACTTTGTGTCTGTGTTTGGAACAGTTGCCAAAAAGCTCATGAGAAAGTGGTTGGCCACCCAAACAATGAACTTTACAAACCAAATGGAAGCTGGAATAAGATATTTTGACCTCCGGATTTCCACGAAGCCTAGAGACCCTGATAATGAGTTATATTTTGCTCATGGATTATTTAGTGCCAAAGTTAATGAAGGTCTTGAACAAATTAATGGTTTTTTGAACACTCACCCGAAGGAAGTTGTATTTTTGGACTTCAACCATTTTTATGGGATGCAAAAATACCATCATGAAAACCTGGTCCAGATGCTGAAGGACATATTTGGGAACAAGACATGTCCAGCTATCTTTGCCCAGGAAGTAAGTCTTCATTATCTTTGGGAACGTAACTACCAGATTTTGGTGTTCTACCACAGTCCGGTGGCACTTGAAGTTCCATTTCTCTGGCCTGGGCAGATGATGCCAGCCCCATGGGCTAATACCACGGACACAGAAAAACTAATTCAGTTTCTACAGTCGTCAATTATTGAAAGGAGGAAGAACGGCTCCTTTTTTATTTCTCAGGTGGTATTAACACCAAAGGCTAGTACTGTTGTCAAAGGAGTTACCAGTGGACTAAGGGAAACTATTACAGAACGGTAAGAAAATCCCAAAATGTGTTTACTTTTTTTAAAGATGATCATAAATTGAACTTTAAGATGCCACTTCTGCTTATAAATATATAAATACTGTAACAGAGGAGCTTGAAATTGAGATCTCAGGTTCAGTTGAGCAGTATAGCCCTGCTCTTTTGGGGCTGTTGGGAAAAATAGGACATGAGGTAGGCACTAAAAAGAATCAGTGTAGGTATTTCAGGAACGACTTATCCTGTCATTATGAAAATGGAGTTTAAGCAGCTGATTTTTTGTAATCCAAATGCTCTCCATAACTATCTGTTTAGAGAACTTCCCCTGAAGGAGCATTATAGCTAAACAATATAAGTCTCTTAAATTAGTCCCTTTAGGGAGCATTATACCTAAACTACATAAGTCTCTTAAACCATTTTATGAGAAGAAGCTTATAATAACATTCATGAATAAATGTATGATGGTTTCTAGAGGTTTTCAGAACAGAAGATTTGTAAAACCAATGACGCTTAGAAGGAGCAGTGATTTCCTATGCCGTGCTATCCCGTAGGAGAAAGTGATCAATGATCATTTTGTAGCATTCCTTTAAAGAATTCAAGTTAAATACAAATATTCTCTCATAAAAAGTCACTGCACTTATTCAAAAGGCAGATATAAACACTAAAATAGGCAGAACCCAAAGTGCGTAGGTTTCGAATAGTGATAAGTTTGGGCTTTGCCTGCGTTCGCCCAAGCCTGCTGAAAACTATGACCAGAACTCTCCAACCTAGACAAAACAGTGTGCAGCCACTGTGGTTGTGATGGGGGCATCCCCTTTGTAACGTGTAGCTGTGGGGTGGAGAATTCACCTGCCACAACTTATTGGGCAAGGAGGAAATTGTGTCAAGTCACAGTTATGGGCAGGCTTTGGCGAACTGAGGCAAACTATGTTGACACCAAGCCCAAAACTGGTTCTGAGTACCATAACTTAATCCTGGCATGATGGGTCACATGAATCTCAACAGATCTGTATTACTGAGACCAGACTTAGCAGTTTTGATTCTTTCCGCTACAGACTACTGCATCAGCTGCAGATCAGAATTGGAGTAAAATGTAATCATTGGCAGAGTCACCAAAGGGACCTGCTTTTGATCCACAAGCCATTACCAGCCAAGTAAAAACACATATGCACTTTGTACTGACAGATATAAATGAGAAATGTCTAAAGGTGCCCATACACCTTACAACCATCGCAAGACCATTTGTGCAGCTCTGTGCAGCTGCACAGGCTGCACAAATGGTATTTCCATCCCTGTATGTAATATCCTTAACGGAGCTGATATCGAAATATATGAAGAATATTAAACTCCTATCATCCACTCCCGAATGGCTGGACTTTGTAATATGTGCAATGTTTCTTTATATTAAATTCCCATCATCCCCTGCCTGCAGGCTAAGATTTCAAAGGAGAGTCAAACAATGACTGTCAATGAGAGAAAGCAGGAAATTGATGTTACTTCTATGGCTCCATCTTACATTTTGAGATTTCAGGCACACTTGGTTTTGACAGGCTATGATTATGCATGTTTTTGAAAGTGTGGTTATGACCACATAGAGGAATACATACTGGATTTAAAAATGACACCTTACTTTTCAGACTTATTGGAAGGAAATAAAGGAATGGCTCCACAAGCAAACATTTAAAAAAAAATAACAATAATAGTATTTTTCATGGACCTAAATTGATAAAATAAGTGTAGGGTGGTATATATACTAGCTGGGTGGAAATGTATTTCTCAATTTACAAAAGGCCAAACCAATAATCCCCCAGGTGGAAGTGCTTTCTGCCTTGAAATCTTGAATTGATTTACAGTTAACAATGGAAGGTAATACCCTATTACCCTGTCCCTCATTTGGAGGGATTGTCCTTGTATATCTCTTTCCTCCCCTGTGTGCCTCTTTTTGGTCTTCTGGTGAAACCTCTATTAAAAATGACTATTAAACTAACAAAACTTGCATTTTTCCTTTCATCCAACTTCTAAATTACAGCACTGTAATATTTTCAAAAAACAATAAAAAGTTCCAAAAATTAGTGGTGGAATAAAGTCACTTCCGAGTTTATCCAATTATTTTTGCATATAAATTATTTTTGTGCTCCACATAACTGGGGGCTGGAGGTGTGTCTTTTACTATATACTTTGTGCAAAAAGGTGTCCCTCTGTCTCTGTTGAAATGTATATTTCCCTGAATTTGTATTTTGTAATTTTTAACTCACAAATGCACTTCTTTTGATCTCAATCTGTGGTACACATTTTAGAGGTGGGTAGGAGTAATTAGAAATGCTTGTGAAGATTTTTTTATAACTGAATTTCCTTATACCCTATATGTGTATAGTCAGTGTGCTAAGAAGCAAGTTAAAGTGACACTAAACTCAGGAGTTAAATCTTAAAAATGCATCAGTACCTTAACTATTAACAAAAATGTATCTTCTTTGTGTATCACTCAACTGTAGATCCTCAAATCATCTCTGAATTGGTGCTGACACTGTCCTTCCTTCTGGAGGGTGGCTACTTTTGTTCCCCATGGTCCCTGTGTATGTCACAATGTAGTCACCGCTCCAAGCTCACTCCTGTGATGGGCTACATTCTCAATACAAACTAGTAAACTAAACGTGAAATTGTAGTCCATCCCAGGAGTGAGCTTTGAGCGGTTGCTACTTTACAACGCACACAGGAACCATAGGGAACAAAAGTAGTCACCCTCCATAAGGAAGGACAGTGTCAGCACCAATTCAGAGATGATTTGAGGATCTACAGACAAGTGATACACAATAAGATACATTTTTGTTAATGGTTAAGGTAGCTGAATGTATTTGTAAGATTTAACTTCCGGGTTTGGTGTTGCTTTATGAAAGTAGCTGGTTTTCTTTCCATCACAGCCATGAATGTAGAAGCCTCACAGCTGTGCTGAGGTCTTAGTGACCTTCTTACCTTCTGTTCACTGGGAAGAGGAATCCTCCAGGCAGTCAGAAATATTGCTGTGTCTCTAGATTTTTGCTCTCTTTATTCCAACCGCTGTGTTTACTATAATCAGCTGTTATAGACAGTAGCAGGTTTATTGCATAGTGAGAGCTGGATTTTAATGTAAGGAGCAGGTGAATATATGTAATTAGTTGCCTTTTTCAATAAAGAGTCACAGGAAGTTAAAACATCAGCTGTTTTTTCCATTTAATACATCCAATAAGTATACAGTATATTAGACCTTAATGTCTATCTTTCTGATTTGCTCCATAATCCAGCATGAAACAACTCATGCACTTTGCATTGTGCAAGAGCTTCATGTAATAAAGTCACTGCTGCTCTCTCCTTGTGCAGGGTGACTGGTCTTGCCTCTGCCCCCTCCTGTAGTTTTTGCAGGTAGCCTGTAGTGGGTGGGGCCTGCTGGGTCCCTCCCTCAGCTCTGCTCTCTGCACAGACTATAGGAAGACCAGTGATGATGTTGCTGCTGCATTTAAAAGGCAATATCAGGGTTTCCAAAGTTATATGGTGCACACAGCGTTAATTTCTATTTTTTTGTTGCTATTGAGGAATATATTAAAATTAATGTTTTGGTGCCTGCAATTCCAGGCAAGTAGTGTTGTACAGTGATCACAGCAACTCAGCTTAAACTAAACCTGCTAGGAAAATAAACATTTCCAACCAGCCCGCACTAGGCACTCTGTAGTACTTAAACTTGTCCTAACCCTGTTCTGGGGTTGGTCGCTGCATTGTGCGGAGGCAGGAGGCATGTTGTGTACTTCCTATTATCTAGAACCATCTGGATTTTCACAGAGCTATGGCAGTGACCAGAGCTGAAGCGAAGTAGTGGTAAAGAAGGGTACCTATCACAGGGTGAGAGGGTAATTTGCAGCATACATTCACATTTCTTTACAAGATCAAGTAGTAGGAGTGTACTTCCTGAAGCCTGTGCCCTGTGCTTCCTGTACCCTTCGTCGCCAATCACATTCAAGCTTCCAAGGAAGGTTTGAAACTAATTGGTTGCTATGAAGAACATCTTACTACTGGCAATTTTAAATTAGGCTTTCTGTGTATGAAAGGCAGTAAGGAGGGTATTCCTGCATCACCAGCAGGTGTGTTCCAGAATCACCAGATTACATACAAAAGGGAGTGGGATGGACTGGTGCAGTACAACAATGCCTATAAACAAAACTGAACTCTTAATCAAGTAGAATATGGCCCCTGAATGTATCCCAAGGTCAATTTTTCCAGGGATTTGACTGGAGTGCACATTTGTTTTACCAAGCAGTCAGCATACAAACCACAAGTGCTTTGGGACTAGGCAGGACCTTTTATTGAAGGTGAAAAGCATTGTAAATTCTTATTATTTGTATCTTTTCTGTATGACATCAAAATGTTAGTGACTTGTATGCTGTCTCCTCAGTAAAACAACGTACGATTTTCTTTCTTCCTATGACTCCTCAGAGTGCTGGCTGCATTCAATGGATCAGTACTGATATGCAACTGCACAGCAGGTGTCCACGCTATATGTGCCCCTTGCGGTTAGCAGATTCTGCTACTTAGTAACGAGATCTGTAAACCATTGTGCCGCTGTTAGCCAGTGCTTAGGCTGTCAGTTCTAATATAAAGTGTGCTCGCTTAGTTGATTTAGCAATGACTCCCAAACTAGAGTCTTTAAGCTGTATTTTGTATCAAATTTGTTCCTATAGTTATGACAATATTGGAATTTTCGAACAGAAAATGTTATTGCTTTTTTCAATCTTTGTAGTTTCATCTGTTGAATATAGTGCTGAGAATGAAAATGTTTATTTCCCACAAGTCATATTTCTACAGTCTTTTTCCAGTACAAAAGTCTTTGTATTTTGACTTTTCTGTATGATCTCAAAATATTGGTGACTCCTCAGTAAAAATAAATGGAACTGAACTGGGGCTCTCCCTGTACTGCAAGGTTTAAAGGCTCCTTTAAAACCTAAAAATGGAACTTTAAAAAGCAAACAAAGTACGACCAATGGATGGAGCACTGAAGAGATGTGGTTTCAGTGGACAGGTTGCACTGCAAGGGTAGTTTTTAAACTTCTTCTGAGTTCAGGTTTAAGTTGTTCTGCTAATCTTCAGAGTGTTGGCTGAACAAAAGAGACACTGTCACTTTGCCAAATCAATGTCTGCAGATAGCCCAGAAGATACCCAACCACAGTCTCTTGACACCTCCCTAGATGGGTATTCCAGCATTCTAAGCTTCGTTGTTGGCGGAATTCAGAGCTCAGACTGGGGGATGATGTCATGGGCCCCTCCACGGACAGTGTTAGGGCCTGGTGATCAGGCCTGGGCGCTGTCACATGGGGAAGGTCACATGCTCCCTCAAACCTGGAAGCTCCACTCCATTACCAAGGTAGTGTAGAGAAGCATCATGTGGAGAGGCTCTTCCTTTCCTTGTGGCCGCTCCCCTGAAGCCGCTTCATCTTTTGAATGTGGTTGGGTTAGTATAATTGTCTAGGGGCAGGGGTCTATCTTTAGACACTACCACTTTGCCCTGAATATAGCTGTTGACTTCATCCTTCATCATTTCATGGAACACTTCTGACTGATGGGTTTTTATTTTTAGACTTCTTCTGTATAAAAGACTCAAGATAGGGTCAGCTGTGTAACAAAGTAAAGCTGAAAATCTAATTAACAACCAAAGTCTTCTCCAC